CATTTATTTCCATGAAAAGAATTTTAAACACTGAATTCATGAAGCAATTACTTCTAAAGGGGGCAGGGGAACGGATCAGGTTAGAACTACACAGACAGATGTTACTGCATAGATGCTATCAGAGGCAGAGCACAAACACTGGAGCCAGATGCCTGGTTTCAATCCCAAACTGTCAAGTAACTTAAGTCTTTCTGTGTCTCAGTTCTATAATCTGTAAAATAGGTGTAATAACACTTATCTCACATGTGCACAGTCATAACTAGTTAATGTGCTTAAAGTACTTAAAACAGTAGCTATCAGCATCATTGTACGTTTTATATAAGCCTTAACTGTATTATAACTTCTTACGTTGTCAGGAGGTTCAAAGGTTTCTAATTATTATGCTTTATAATTCATACACACAGTTGTGTCCCTTAATGACAAGGATATGTTCTGAGAAATGCATCTTTGGGTAATTTTATTGTTTAGCAAACAACCTTCAATGTGACAGTCTACTACACACCTGGGGTCCATGGCATACTATTACTCCTAGGCTACAAACATGTGTAGCATGTTACTGTACTACATACTGCAGACAACTGTAATACCATGTTAAGTACTTAAATATCTAAATATATCTCAACATAGAAAATGTACAGTAAAAATATGGTAAAAAAGATTTTTTTAAATGGTGTACTTACCATGAATGGAGCTTCTTGCAGGACTGGAAGTTGCTTTGGGTGAGTCAGTAAGTGGTGAGTGAATGGGAAGGTCTAGGACATTTCCATATACTAGTGTAGACTTTATAAACACTACACATTTAGGTTACACCAAATTTATTTAATTTTTTCCTTCTTCAGTAATTAACTTTGGGGCTGGGATGTGACTCAGTGGTAGAATGCTTGCCTAGCATGTGCAAGACCCTGTGTTCCAATGCCAACACTGCAAAAGAAGTTTAATTAATTAACTTTAGGTTACTGTAAATTTTTTACTTTATAAACCTATCTTTTATCTTTCTCTTTTGTTCTAACACTTAACTTAAAACACAAACACAAGCCGGGCGCAGGTGGCTCACACCTATAATCCTAGCTACTCAGGAGGCAGAGATCAGGAGGATTGCAGTTCAAAGAGCCTGGGCAAATATTCTGCGAGACCTTATCTCAAAAAAAACTTCACAAAAATAGGGCTGGTGGAGTGGCTCAAGGTGAAGGCCTTGAGTTCAAGTCCCAGTACTGAAAACAAAAAAACAAACATAAGGCAGGTGTACAAAAATATTTTTCACCAAAATAAATACATTTCTCTTTATCATTCCCACCTAGCCTTTATGTTTTCTGTTAAGTGTTAGGGATATAGTTTCTAAAATAAGGGCTAATTTCTTGTTCAATGCTTAAAACTCCCTTCCAACATAAGTTATGCAATTGTGGAGGATAAAATAGTTAACATCTGACTCAGGATATGGATATGGAAGAGGGTTTATGGAGTGACTCAAGTGGTAGAGCATCTGCCTAGCAAGCCTGAGGCCCTGAGTTAAACCCAGTACCACAGAAAATATATAAAATAAAAAAAAGGATGGAAGCAAACATTAGCACATTAGTCTGATCACTTGTCAATTGGAAAATATGCCGCATTCCACCCACCTGATTCTATTAAGCTTTTCCTATTTTTTTTTTTTTACTTTTTAAACTTTGTTAAAAACTAAGATGGAAGGGGGCCGGGGGGTGCCAGTGGCCATGTCTATAATACTAGCTACTTGGGAGGCTGAGATCAGGATTGAGGTTTCAAGGCCAAAAAAGTGAGACTCTATCTCAAAAATAACAACAGGAGCTGGTGGAGTGGCTCAAGTAGTAAAGCGCCTACCTAGCAAGTGCTAGCAAGTGTGAGGTCCTCAGTTCAAACCCAGTGCCACCAAAAACAATAAAATAACATACAGGAAAAAAGGACTGAAGGTGTGGCTCAAGCGGTAGACCATCTACCTATCAAGTTTGTAAGTCATGAGTTCAAACCCTAGTACTACAAAAAAAAAAAAAAAAAAAAAAGAAAAAAACAAAACACACTTTGTGTTTCTGGCCACAGGGTCAGAATCATCAAGATTACTATCTTCCACCTCTACATTTTGCTCCCCTGGAAGGTCCTTGTGGAGCTGTCATGGAGCTGTCAACTCCTGTGATAACAATACCTTCTTCTGGAATAACTTCTGAAGGACCTGCCTTGTGCATGTAAGACAAGCACTCTTACTAGTAGCTTCAGTCTCAGCCCTAACTTTTATTTTAATAAGTAGGAATATACTCTAAAACAAACATTAAAGAATATAATATATAAACTGACATTAGAGACACACTCAGACCAGATATGGTGGTACATGACTGTATCCCAGCACAGGGGAAGGGGCGGTCTGACACAAAGGATACAAATTCAAGGCCAGCCTGGGTTATATAGCAAGACCCTGTCTCAAAAAAAAAATCAGCAAAATTATATTTAAAAATTTAAATGTAGGGCTGGGGAATGGTCAAGCAGTAGATACCTGCTTAAAAATGCAAATCAGTAAGTTCAAGGTCATCCTGGGCAAAATAGTAAATAAACCCCATCTCACAACAAAAAAAGCTGGGCATGGTGGCACACACCTGTCATCCCAGCTTCATGGAAGTGAAAGTAGGAGGATCCTGATCAGGCAGTCAGGAACAAAACCTTGAGACCTAACCTCAAAAATAAACCAAAGCCAAAAAGGGTGTGCTTCAAGTGGTAGAGCACCCAGACTAGAAAGGATGTTTGCCCTGAGTTCAAACCCAGGACCACCAAAAAAAAACAAAAACAAAAACAAAAACTGGGACATGAAAATAGGGCAATGATATACCCAAAAGACTGTGACACAGGTTACTCCAGAGGCACCTGCACACCCATGTTTATTGCGGCACTATTCACAATAGCCAAGTTATGGAAACAGCCAAGATGCCCCAGCACTGACGAATGGATTAAGAAAATGTGGTATCTATACACAATGGAATTTTATGCAGCCATGAAGAAGAACGAAATGTTATCATTCGCTGGTAAATGGATGGAATTGGAGAACATCATTCTGAGTGAGGTTAGCCTGGCCCCAAAGACCAAAAATCGTATGTTCTCCCTCATATGTGGACATTAGATCAAGGGCAAACACAACAAGGGGATTGGACTTTGAGCACATGATAAAAGCGAGAGCACACAAGGGAGGGGTGAGGATAGGTAAGACACCTAAAAAATTAGCTAGCATTTTTGCCCTTAACGCAGAGAAACTAAAGCAGATACCTTAAAGCAACTGAGGCCAATGGAAAAGGGGAACAGGAACTAGAGAAAAGGTGAGATCAAAAGAATTAACCTAGAAGGTAACACCACGCACAGGAAATCAATGTGAGTCAATGCCCTGTATAGCTATCCTTATCTCAACCAGCAAAAAACCCTTGTTCCTTCTATTATTGCTTATACTCTCTCTCAACAAAATTAGAGATAAGGGCAAAATAGTTTCTGCTGGGTATTGAGGGGGTGGGGGGAGAGGGAGGGCGGAGTGGGTGGTAAGGGAGGGTGGGGGCAGGGGGAGATATGACCCAAGCCTTGTATGCACATATGAATAATAAAAGAAAAAAAAGAAAATAAAAAAAAAAGAAAATAGGACAATGAAGGGGGAGGGGATAAGAAAGTAATAGAGGGGGATGAACTTGATCAAAGTATATTATATGCATGTATGGAGGCCCAAAAAGAGTAGTAATACAGTGTAACCTCATTAGGATGATGTCATTAGGCAATAAAAGTTTTTCAGCTCAGTATCTTATAGTATCTTATGGGATTATAGTTGTATATGTGGTACATTACTACACATATTTTCTTTTGTATTATCCATTTAAATATCCAAATATACTTCAAATAAAGGAGGAAAAAGACACCCTTAACCCTTAAAAAGGAGGTATCCTGGGTGATGCAGGGCCATAGCTGTGTTGGCTGGGGCCCCACAGCAAGCTCAGCCTGTCCCTTGCCTGTCAACTGCACTTTCAGAAAAAGTCAGTGAGCCCTAGTCAGGCTGATGTGGCAAGGAACCGTGATTCTGCACCGCCCTCACCTGCAACATGGGACGCTACCAGTCCCCACCTGGCTGGCCGAGATGAAACCACATCACAGCCTGTCGCGTGGTTAGCTGTTACTTTTCCTTTTCCTTAGCTCCCCTCGATGTCCAGCGATAACTTCAGTGAGAAAAGTCCGGCCAAGACAGCTACCAGAGGGACAATCTAACGTTGCTCTCAGCTTCAAGACTCTGGGTTGTTTCTCAGAGGGAGCCGCGGTGGCTTTTATTGTTGTACTGGGGATGCACTGGGGGGCCAGGGTTTGAGATGCAAAAATCCTTGAGTGTATAATGTGGCTGATGAACCCGGGCGTGGCGGTACACGCCTGTAATCCCATGGACAGCTCGCGGCCAGCCTGGCCTACATGTGAGACCGCTCAAATACAAAGTAATAATAGTAACAGTAATAGTAATAGTAATAAGAAGAAGAGCTATTGCTCTAACCTGCCTCCCAGCGCTGAGGAATGCCGAAAAGCTAAAGGCTGAAGGACGCTTTGACATGTATCGGGTTTAAGAAGAAAAAAAACCAGACTATGCTGCTGCCAAAATGTCGCCAACGAGCCGGGTCAGCGCCACGGCAGCCGGCGCCATTATCTACCTTAGTGTCATTTTGGGGGCCTGGAGCCGCAGGCCGCGCGCCATCCGCACTACGAAAGAGCGCAGGTACCGCGCAGCGGGCCGCTGGCGGAGACCTAGAAGCTACGTCCCCTTGCACTGCCTTCGGCCCTCACAGCGACTGCTGCACCGACAACGGCTGCGCTGTTTCTGCACTGAGCATGCGCAGCTCGCAGTTTCTCCCAGCCCACCGAAGGGCTCCAGCCAATCGGAGAGCCCCAGCGCCGTCCTCCGTCCGCCCGTGGAGCAGGGGCGTAGCACTTCATTTTAGCCAATAAGAAAAGACTTTCGTTCGGGACGCACATGTACGTCGAGAAGAGGGTGGGTAGGAAGGTGGTTTCCTTAGCAAGATGGCTGCGAGCGGTCTGAGGCAGGCTGCTGCCGCAGCCGGCACCTCAGTGAAACCCATTTTCAGTCGGGATATGAACGAGGCCAAACGGAGGGTGCGCGAACTCTACCGCGCCTGGTATCGGGAGGTGCCGAATACTGGTGAGAGGCAGCGGCGCACGGGGGGGCCCGCAGGCAGCTGCCCAAGGTGTCACGGATCTAGCGGAGGTCACCAACTTGGGCAGAGGCGACTCCGGGTTACCCCAGCCTGTGATGGCCCCGACCTGACGGCGGCGCCGAGGTCAGACCTGCGGTGGCTAGCATCCGGACGGAGCTAAGCGCCCTAGGCGCTTCGGTGTCCGTGACCAAGCACCTTTTCCGCCTCTGGAGGGGAGGGGGACGCAGGGACTGTTAGTGACATACTCGTTTTGTGGATGAGACAGCTCCAGGCTAGCCTCTGATGGACCTGGAAACCAGTCAACTTACAGTTTCATAAAATATTTCCAGACGCTACTAGGTTTTGTCACCAAAATGCTGCAGAATGTAAGCAATTATCCAGTCCCCCCGCTACAGAAAAACTGGACCAGGTCGTCCGGTAAATCCGTGCATTTTCAAGTCTTCGCAGGCAAGGTGGCCTTGCTCCCAGCTCCACCCGCCCTAGTATTCCTTAGGTCTTCCTGCCCCTCTGGCGATCGGCCCTACTGCAGCAGAACCCTCTCTTGCAGAACCTACTCTGTTCATCTGAAGGATTAGTGTATGGACTCTCTGAGAGCTGAGACTGTACTGAGTAAGCTGGGGGAAATCCCACTAAGCAGTCAAGGGCAGTACAAATGTCAGGGATTGTATTCTGTTAGAGGTTTTGACTTAGTGTGTTTTAACCTGAACCATCATTGCTAGTGTGGGGAAGGCAGTTTGGAGTGAGTGAGAGCATAGCATAGCACCCTTCAGAACTACCACTTTCTTGCTTGTGTGAGGCAGCAGAGCCTGCACTTTCCTCTGCCCTTTAATAACTGAGACTTCGGGCAGGTTATGCCAACTGTGCCTCCGTTTCCTCATCTGTAAAGCAGGGCCTGGCACTTTGTTAATACTCATTAAATATTGGGTGCTCCTATTGTTTTTGTTATTATTGCTGCCTACAGGGCTTTCCTAGTTCTTGGAAGTATAAGAACTGTGCTCTAGAGTCCCTGTCCTCAAGCTGACGTTCTGTGTGTGTGTGTGGTGCTGGGAGTTGAACTCAAGGCCTACACCATGAGCAACTCCACCAGCCCTTTGTTTTTGCATGTGATAGGTTTTTTTGAGATAGGGTCTCGCAAACTATTTGTCCCAGCTGGCTTCAAACCGTGATCCTTCTGATCTGTGCCTCCTGAGTAGCTAGGATTACAGGCATGAGCCACCTGTGCCAGGGCAGTGATTTTTTTTTTTTTTTTTTAAAGATAGGGGTCATGCTATCTCAAGCTGACTTCCAATTTGTTATCCTCCTGCCTCAGCTTCCTCATGCACCACCATGGTGGCTCTCAAATTAACTTTGAGAGTTGCTAGTCACCAGAATTTAAACCTATCTGACACTATACAAGTAGGATCCCAGGAGGAAGTGATGTGCTTGTGCAGAGACTGCAAATTTAGATGCCTTCTGGGGACAGGTGATCATAGGAAGTGGGAGGGGTGCATTTAAAACAGAATATTTGTCTAGCAGAATATTAGTGGTGGTACTGGGGTTTGAACTCGGGCCTTACTCATGCTAGGCAAGCCCACTACCACTTGAGCCATTCAGCCAGCCTTAGAACTCTTTTGTTGCAGGAGGAAGATGAATGATAAAGAAGTCCAGATTTAGGAAGGGTGTTTGAGGAATGTACTATTCAGTGGCTGAGTTAAAAGATAAAATCCACGTGTCCTGACTCTCAGAAGTCAGCTCTTTGTAAAACATCCCCTCTTTGTAAAACATCCCCTCCCAGAACCTTCCCTTAAATACTGTCTAGGAAGGCATTCTAGAGTTAGCTGTATGCACTCCTATAATCCCAGTACTTGGGAAGCTGAGACAGGAAGGTCAAGAGTCCCAGGCCTGCCTAGGCTATATAGCAAGACCCTGGCTCAAAAATAAGAAACAAACCCCCTACAGAACTCCTAGAGTCAGAAGGGTCTTGAGAAGAGGAAAGAAGTTGTAGGGGGTTGCAGGACATTAGAGAGAGGGAAAAGGAGTGATCTGTAGCTGGTCAGTTACTCAAACCTGTGCTACACTGTGTCATGCTGTCTGTCACTGGGACTCCAGCTGAAGAACCAAACCAAGAATTGGAAATAAGTAATAGTATTGATAATAACTAAATTAACACTTAAGCGCTTAATGGTCCAGCACTATGCTAAATGCTTTATAGCACCTTATTTTAAGGTAGGCTCTGTTTCTCTGCCTTACGTTACAGATGAGCAAACTGAAACATAAACTAATTTAGAGTCACACCAGAAAATAAATAGAAGACCCAGACCCTGACTGTTCAACTCTTACTACCTAGTTCTTAGGCCTTGGGATGTCGCTCAGCTTACCTCAGATGCTTTGCATGTGTGACACCCTGAGTTCAATCCCTAGCACCAAAAAGAGAAAAAGCCAAAACTGACTCTAACTCCCATTGTAGTTTCTCTGAAAGTCCGGTTTGGAATGGAAACACAAGGACAGAACTGCCTTTGAATCCCTCCTTTGGAAAAAAAATACATATTGTTTGCTGGCCATAAGATTACAAGGGAGTTTCTATAAGAAGTTAATTGACTTAGTCTCCATTTCACTGGGCACCTCTTTTACTACAGGGTCAGTTACTAGATGTCTAGAGCTATACAAAAGTAAATAAAACACAGCCTTGTCATCAAGGGAATTATGGTCAAGAGAGGGAGATAGGCATATACCCAGGTAATTAAACCCAGAGGTTAAGGAAGTATAGGGAAAGGTGCTGAAACAAAAAGCCCTGTTATATCATGCCTGGGACAAAGCTATGGAATTTGTCTCACTAGAGACGGGTTCTTCACCTGGGAGGATGGACACTTCAGGATCTGTAATGTACTGAAATTTCAAGAGCTTTGCACTTGTGCATACAAACTTTTTTTCTTTCTTTTTACAGTGCTAGGGATGGACCCCAAGGCCTCATGCATGCTAGGCAAGTGCTCCACCACTGAGCACTTGCCCACATTGTGAACATTTTGCTGAAGTGAAAAAATTCATACATCCAGTGTAAGGTCCAGGAGATCATGAGGAATGCCTAGAAGCATCTCATCTTTGCTGTCCAGGTTGGGCAGGGATCTGATATAAAAGTACAGGGAAGGCTTGCATTAATAGCATATTTTTTTCCTTAAAAGAGCACCAGATTCTAAATGAAAAGAAATGTTGCTTCTTGGTAACTGCTAGGGTGCAGTTGTATGACTTTGAGCAATTCAGGCTCTAGGTCTGACTCCTCCCAAGTGGTAAGATCCTAAATTCCAAGGCCGTGAGGGGTGGCTGAAGCTTGTAATCCTAACTACTTAGGAGGTGGAGATTGAGAGGATCATGGTTCAGAGTGGCCCAGGCAAAAAGTTAGCAAGACACCATCCCATCTCAACCAATAAAAGATGGGTGCAGTGTGTATACCTGTCATCCCATCAATGTAGGAAGCATAAATAGGATTGTGGTCCAGGCCAGCCCAAGCATAAATTCGAGACCTTATTTGAAAAATAGTTAAAGCAAAAAGGGCTCTGGGCATGACTCGAGTGGAAGAGTGCCTGCTTGGCAAGCGCAAGACCTTGAGCTCAAGCCCCAGTACTACCAAAAAAAGATTCTAAATTCCAGGTTCCATATTATTTTGTTTGTTTTGGTTTTTCATTGTCATCTTACTGTCTTTCTGTGTGTTTTTTCTAAAATTCCTACTGTAATATTGACCTGCTCTCTTTGGGTAGGTGGGGACCTAAGTTTATAGTGCTTACCATTTCCCATGTTACTCAACCACCATAGTTGATTATAAGCTACAAAAGTAAAGGCAGAGTTGAGATGTATGTAAGTAGCTTTCCATGAGAACCACTTATATACTTATTATAAATTATTATAATAAACAAATTAAAAAATATATAAATTATAAAAGTTATTTCTAGTGTGAATAGTCTCATCTGTCTTACCCATTTAGCTGGGATGACAGTTCTTGCTAGATTTCTGCTAGTTATTCCCTGGTCAGATCAGAAACCTTGTTTCCTTTGCAACACGACATGGTATTTCCCTCTGCAGCTTTATTTTTCCATTGTTGTCACTAAGCTGTGAGTATAACAAAAGATTCAGACTTACTATTAATTCTGTCACTAAATGGCTCTCATGGTTTTCAGAGCTGTTTGTGATAGTTTTTTGGGGGGTTTTTTTGTTGTTTTTAATAGGGACTCTAAATAGCCCAGGCTGGCCTGGAACTCACAGTCCTTCAGCCTCAACTTCCCCAGTGCTAGGAGTACTGGCGTGAGCTCCCACGCCCAGCTGGATGTGATAGGTCTACAGACTAGACATATCATAAGAACAGTCATAGCACAAGTTGTCCTCATCAAATAAGTATGCTGGTCCTTAGCCATAATGCTCATTTTAGCCTTCAAGCCTTGCTATGCTGTCCTCTCAGCCCGGTATGCCTCTCACTCCATCACTGTTCCACCTGGTACACAGGACCCGTCATCCCCTTGTCATCAGCAAATACACTGAAGGCTGAGGATGAGAAAACAAGTAACTAAAACACAAATTTCAAAGGCCACTCATATATGCCTCAATGCCATATGAGGTTCAAGGTTGCTGAGTTGTGCCACTGTTTTAGGCACTGACTTAATTGCCTAAATATTGGTGACTATTATGATTTTATGTTTTCAGTCATGGATGACTGTCCCTCCAGTCAGAACTTTAGGCCTAGAGAAGTGGAGCTACATCTCTAACTTCTTTCTCCTTCCTAGATAACCTGCTTGTGGGATTGAAGCCTTCCCCCCTGTACAAACCCTTAGCATTCCCTCAGCTTCCAAGTTCATGAGGTACTTGTAGCCTATGCCACATTATTTTATATAAGTATCAACCCTTTAATCTTATTTTGCTGATTGTTGCATATAAAAAATAATGCTAACACGAGGAATATAGTTCAGTGGTAGAGTCCAGTACGTGCAAGACTCTGGGTTCCATCCCAAAACCACAAAAAAAAGAAAAAAATAGCCAGCACAGTGGTATGTGTCTACACTCCCAGCTACTTGGGAGGCTGAGGTAGGAGGATTGCAAGTTCCAGTCTGGGCAGCTTACTGAGTTAAATAAATGTTAACATTTGTGAAGAGCTTATTCAATGCCAGACACTATTATAAACATTTTGCATTATCTTGTGAAATTCTTACAACAGCTCTGGAATTAGGGGTGTTCTTACCTTCATGTCACAGATAAACAGACTCAAACATAAAATTACTAACTTACCCAGGATATAGCTGAGAGTTGAACCCAGGTTGTTCGTATTTTGAACTGTACTATCTTTCAAATGTAGTGATCTTATTTTCCCCAAACAAAATGTAAGGTCATTGAGCCATGCCTTCACATCCTCAAGTACTGAGCTCAGGGTGAGGCTCTTTGGTATGGAATAAATGGGCAAGCTGTACATGTTCAGTGAATATCCGTTAAGTTTCTAAAAACATGTTTAAACCATGTAATTTTTACCTATAATCATGTTTTCTTTTTAGTGCACTCATTCCAGCTAGACATCACTGTGAAACAGGGACGGGATAAAGTCCGAGAGATGTTTTTGAAGAATGCCCACGTCACAGACCCCAGGGTGGTTGATCTTCTGGTCATCAAGGTAACTAACCCTTGTGACCAACTTGAAAGATCAGCCAGCTTGTCCTGTGCTTCTCATTCTTAGTCTTCCCAGATGATCATTTTGTCTCAAGTTTAAAAGCAACTGCTGCTTCAGCAGCTGTGCTCTGTGCTGCAAAATAGTTGAACTTTGAGGTTCATCACCTATTGAAGAGAAAAATGCACTGGGGCTTGCATTTTATAACTAAAAAACAGTGTAAAGAGGAAAGCTTGAACACTCTTTTGAACATTGCTCCTGGAAGTTACTGCTTTATCTGGATGCCAGCTTATAGCTAGAAGAGGCAGAAAGGTCCTTTGAGTCCTGTACAAAAGGGGTCAGATTGTGGGCCTGTTCCCCAGCCAGTCACATTGCATCAGTGGGAGCTTCAGTGTAGATCAGTAAATAACACAGAAGAAATGTTAAGCAGGAACTTAAGTTAAAGCAGTTAAGTTATGTACTCATGCAACATGTTAACATGCAACATGTTAACCTGAAAGTCTCCTCTTGGGAACAGTTAAACCATAGTTAAGAGTATTTGAGAGGCCTCAGGGATCATTTAATCCCACATTTTCCAGATGCAGTAATTTGCCTAGAAAGAACAGTTAATTGCCCAAGGTCAGTGCTGAGCAGAGAACAGAGTCCTGAGCTTCAATTTGTCCACTTTGACTGACCACCTGTCCCCTCATTTGTGCAGGGAAAGATGGAGCTGGAGGAAACAATTAATGTGTGGAAGCAGCGGACACACCTCATGCGGTTCTTCCATGAAACAGAATCACCAAGGCCAAAGGATTTCCTGTCCAAGTTCTATGTTGGCCATGACCCATAAAGTCACTCGGTGGAAAGGTTCATGTTGAATTTAATTGTTTCAGATACAAATAAACTCATTATTTGATGGTTGCTTCATGGTAAAATTCTGTTGGTAAACCAGCTTTCTGTGGTCTCACTTCTTGCATGAACAAGTGGGGTCTTGATATATACCTGTTCATATCTTTTTCTTGAAGTGTGATGTTTACTGTAAATTAGATTGGATTCTTTTTCAGATCCTTGCATGTCAGTAAACAGGAAGGGATGAAGCCATCTGTTTAGAAACTGTCACACTGGATTGAGTCTGGATGACTTTGTTAGGTTAGTTAAGTTTTCTTGTTGTTGTCTTGCGACAGGGTCTCATGGCCCACGATGGCCTCTATCAATTCTCCTGCCTTTGCCTCCCGAGTGCTGGAATTGCAGACATGTACCCTGCTGCTTAGTTGTATTAATAAAATCTTCACAATTGGACATCTTGGTATCAGAGCACAGATGATCCAAAATTAGCCAGTTCTTGCTGTCTGAGGGATCATAGTAGCACTGTTTGCTTTTCCTTGGGTTCTAAATAAAATGATGCTCAGAGACCTAACCCCTCTACTTGCAACAAGCACCTGTCCTTAAAGTGAAATTAACTTCCTACTCACTAGGCAGGCCCCTAGGGCACAGCTGTTCGGTGCATACACACAGAACAAAAATATTCCCACTGTTTTTGCAAACTGGTATAGCTCTTCAGTGTCTGTCAAGAGAATAAATGTTGACCCAGGTTAAAGAACTGCTATCTGTTTGCTTTGGGTGGTGGTCTCTGTTCCTTCTCTGAACAGTCCAAATGCTGGAAAAAGGGTTCAGTATCTATGGGTACAATCACCTGAGAATTCCCACAATTTTCAGTACAAAGGGTCTCCTTATGGAGATCTTTTTCACCTAAGGAACCCAAGTTTTGAAAGATCATTTAAGGAGTTATAAACCAACAGAGCTCCTCTGATGGCACATAACTGAACACACAAAAAACTTGAGGCTTTAGTTAGCCTGTGCAGCTTTGAAAAGAAACAGTTTCTATTGGGCTTTGTAAATTAAAAAAAATGTCCCAGGCCTCCTTAATTACCTTTGTGGATCCACAGGGATCTGGGTATCCTGGGCTATAAACCAAAGGCGTGTATATTTCCCTAACAGAGAAGGGACAGCAGAGACAAGAAACTGCAACAACCTGAGGCTGCTTGGATCAAGAAACTTCAGCCACCTTTCAGTCATACACAGCTGATGTTTATTACATTATTCATAATTTCCAGTGCTCAATGGACAGCACATCTCAGGGAACCTCCCAGAGCCTGGGGGTCTGGGTTGTGGTCATAGTCCATGCAGGAGGCAAGGCTGAGGTCTTTCCCTGAGTATTTTTTGTTGATACGGAAGGAGGAGAGCTGACACCATTTCTTTAGCTAGTGCTTTCTCCTTCCTCTACTTTCTCCACACCCTAGAAGAAAGGAAAAGCAGCAGTGAAGTGGGCAATGATACTTCATCCACATCCTGAAAGAGAATCCCACAGACTGATCCTACCAAACATGTAAGAGAAAGGCAATGTTGAGTACCTTTGACTATTCATACATTTACTGGCCCAAAGGTATAAATGACATTTCCTGCCAGCAAAAAACTCCATCTGGTAGAATTCTCTGGTGTGGGTGTACATATTTAAACAAATAGCCCAGGCTGGTCTTGAACTCAATCGTCCTGCCTCCACCACAAGCTCAGGGATTACAGGTGTGTCCCACCATTCCTAGCTTTATCAGCAGTCAATTTCGAATGGAGGGATAAAGGAAGGTATCATCAAAGCCACTAAAGAATGGGTGGGCATAGGACAAAGAGCAGTGAGACGAACAATGAGTCATTATTTGGGAGATGGGTAAAAGTGAGGGTAATTCAAGAAATGATGAGTCCTGGGGACAGCCCACTCTGGTGGGTCCACAGTCCTGCCTTCTCAGGGCTATTTCCTCCTGTGTTGGGAATACAGAAGATGGAACTGAGACAAGAGGTGTGTCCAGATGACAGCAAGAACACTAAACTAAGGAGTCAGGAGTGTCCTTACCTATGATTGTAATGGTGCCATGCTGCACACATTACAGCACAAGAAATCAACACAAGAAAGCTAAATGGGAACATAATGGGACTCCTGGGAAAAGGGTTTGTGTCCATGTACAGGCTGTACAGCTGAAAGTGGTGAGGACTTTGCCAGTCCCTAAATTTTGGTATGGAGCTGCTGAAATACAGCTGTTGGTGGTAGGTATGTATAAGACATATTAAATTGTCAAGAAAATGTGGGTTGATTAAATGAAGGTACATCAAGGCCAAGGTTCCTGATCTAGTAAGAAGAGATACCAGTGTATGTATAAATTATTAGTTACTACCATAACCTTCAGTCTGCATTACACGCGCAAACGAGCCATAGACTCTGGATCATATCCACTAGTCTGGGTTGCTCTGTCGCGTTACAGCTACTTGCGTGAACTCCTCACGCAAGGGTCCAAAATGCTGCAGTAGGCCAGACTCGTCTATGCAACAAGACCCACTGCTACCATCTCTACCTATAACGATTGCATCTGCTGTCACAATATCACATGAGGAAAAAGCATGTCTTGATTAGCTTCTGATTAGTTTTATCGTCATCATCATCTTTGGAGTAACAGAATAATTATAAAGTACCTTAATTATTTGACATCATAAACGATACATAAGTCAAGCAAAGGCTTCGGTTCGTCTTAATGGATGAGTGATGGGTACTATGGCTTAAAGCTTTATTATGACCTTATTTTTACACAAGGAGTGAGTGAGCATCATGGTAGGGGATTACATGCTTCTGCGCTGAAGACTCAGCCACGAAGGAAGTAGACCCACAGAAGACGCTCTCGCAGAGTCAGAACTAATGATGGGCATGCTCAGAACTTAACCAGAGCCTTTGCAGTGGGGCATAGAAGCGCTCTCGCCGCCATACTTGTGGACAATTATACCTCCCTAAGTGACCACCAGACCATCCAAACCATAGCCCACTTTGAGGTTGACAAACAACGTTTCCCTACTGTGGATTAAGAACTTTCATAGCGCACAAGATATAAACAGAATCAGTGAGACAGGACCTACGAAGCTTAAAGCCTTGACAGGATGCTCGTGGACTCTCAGTACAACGGACTACGTGGTAATAGCTATTATACTCAACACACATATGCTATAGGCATTAGACATGCCCCTGTAGGTTCACCCACAAATACGAGAGGGAAGAAAAGCACTAAGGACCGGACTATGGTCAGCTCTACTTGAAAATACTACACACATAAAAGTAAATTACAAAAACATGTTCAGTGGAGGGATATTCTCTACAGTTCTTCAAGTTCCCTGATGCCTGACAACTGTGATTTCACCACATTAAATCTTAGAAACAGACAATGTAGATGGACTGGAGGAGTGTTAGTAAAATCTCACCATTTTTCCTCTGTATATTCCGGGAGTTACATTTTTTTTCTCACCTGTGCCTTTTTAAAAGGCAGGCTGCACTTTCCTGCTGCTTACCGTGAATACAGCCTATGATCAATTGTGTGAGTTAGCATAAAGGAATTTTTTTGTTTTTAACTCCCACACAGCCCTGCAGTTAAAAAGCACACCTTTGATTGATATAAGAGACCATTTCCATTTTCCTTAGACCTAAGGGTACTGAGGGCAAGTGACAGTATTCAGTGATGGAAAAAACAGGACCTAGTCGGGGCTATTCCAGTAAGAAGCCTGGATGCCAAGACCTAACTCAGCTGCGAGCCTCGGACACCGGCTTCACCACTAAGGCCCGATTCTTCATTTGTAAAAATCTGACTGTAAACTGGGCAGACAGACTGCGTGACTTGTCTAAACTCCACACACAAGCCGTCTTCTGGCCCCAGAGGAATGGGGCACCACACAACTCACGATAAACTAGTGCAAAATACAAGTTCTGCCCATCGATTTCTGTCTCCAAGCACCCAGCTCAACACCGGATTTTAACCCATCATCTTCTCCCACGGATCAAAATTAGCAACCATTAGCGCAAAAATTTGTCCTTGGTCCGCCTTCTAGTCTATGCCGATCCTATGATTGGTCTCTGGTCCTGTCAATCAGCATCAGCCTGTGGCACGCCCCACAAGGATTGGCCTCGGCCCCTTCGCCCCGTCTCCAGGAAGACACTCACTTTCACCGGTTTGGGCAAAATGGCGCCGCTGCGGGTAACGATGACTGACCTCGACGGTACCAAGCTCCGACCTGAGCTACCCTGTACGGCGGAGACATGGTCACCTTTCCTCAAGCTTGGCCTGCTCCGGAGAGGCCAGGATCGGACAGACGTCAAAGCCAGCCAGCGAGCCGCTCCGAACGCCATCTCCCAGCCCCGCCCCTCACCGGAACCCTCGCTCCTCCGTCAGGACCGGGTGACGCCCTAAGAACGCCGCCCCAAGCCTCGCGAGACTAGCGGGTGCACGCCAGAACCCAGCCCTCGCGCTTGCGCAGTCTCCCCCATTGCGGTGGAGGCGGGAAAAAGGCATTCGTCACCCGCCCGGCGCGGTGGCGTCACGAGCACGACGCCGACGCTCCATTTTCCTCCTCCCTCCTCCCGGCCTCTGGTGGGCGGGGCCATCAGCTCAGGGGACCCCGAGTGTGCAGCCTGCTGTCGTTGTTCCTGCACCCGACCGCCAGGAGACTGTTGAAATAAGCTTAAGGAGCCAAAATGAGTAATAATGAAAAAACTTTACTTAGTGTTTGACTCTATAAAAAAAACTGCAACACTTAAAAAAGTCACCAAAGCCTGTAGTATAACTGTGTACCTATATAACAGGTGCAGTGGGCTGCGGGCTTCCCATAATAGGGCTGGGAAACAAGCTGAGCGGAACCGAAATGGGGCCTGAGTGACATCTCGGCCACCTGGAGATAAGAGGCTCTGAGCTCAGCCTGAGGCCTAGTTGGGTCTTGGTCGGGCAGCCCAAGACCCTAATAAAGCAGAGGAAGGCTGGGAAAGGGTAGATTTTGTGTTTGGAAAGGGAGATGTCTGGCCAGACCCTACGTCTTCGCGCCAACCACTCTACTATCATATCCCTAACAGAGACAGGTGAGTCTGACCTCTGACTCTGGACTCAGCCATTCTCCCCCCCACCCCCAACAACAATAAAAAAAAGAAAACATTTAGCATGATGCTAGAGAGAGTAACAATGAGAGTACTTGGCCGGTAAAACCTACAGGACAAGCAGGAGTGTGACAGAGTTCCCAGGTAGTTTCACTCAAAAGTTCCAGAAGCAGGAACACTTTGTATGGGAATCCAGCCAGGAGAGGTTTTATCCCAAGGTACCAGGAATCCTGTGTCTAAACTTCTAGAATGCCCAGGACAAGGACTGGAGGTGTGGCTCAAGTGGTAGGGTGCTTGACTAGAATGCCCAGGACTGAGAACCAAAGAAACAAACTGCCTTTCCCCCCAATCACCTCCCCACCTCTGTAACTTTCCACTTGGCTCTAAGAGCTAGCTGATGAAGACAGAGCCCAGGAAGTGTTACTGTTGACTTAGAAAAGCTACCAGCTCTGCCCGGGGCAAGGTCCAGCACCATCTGTTGATAGTGCAGTGAGAGCAAAAGAAATCCCTTTTTATTGGCTGAAAGCCCTCTTCTCCAAAGAGCCCTACCCAAAACACAGAATGGGGGGGGTCACATGCCCAATCTTCCCCTCCCTCTCAGGAAGAGCTGGACCCAGAGGCCCTCTGACACAAAAAAATCCATTTTCTCTGACAATGTCAGCAGCCCTTCAAGCCAATACTGCTGACAGACTCTGGGATTCAGATGCACACAAGATTTCCTGTGTTGGAAATTATGGCTATAGAATCTAGTGTGCAGGTCGAATGTAGGGTAGCCCCATGTCCTTCATTTCACTAACTTTCCCTGAGGGGGGGCAGCCCAGCACAGAGTCAGGAGACTTGGGGCTGCTCTAGGTGTTATGCAAGCCAGCTTTCTTCTCTGGGTCTCAGAAAATAAAAAAGTTTGGAAGTCATGACTCCTTAGTCCTCTCCAGGCACAAGGGAGGATATGGAACTTGGAGAAGTCCTAAAAAGCAAGAGGAAGAGAAACCCCACCCGCCCACCGGCAACCACTTTGGAAATGAGTAAACATTTAACTCTGCACTGGCCCTAGTGTCCTAACCAGCAGGACAGGGCCACAACTAGAAGGATGCAGGCTCAGGGCCTGTCCTGTTGCTTGTATTCTGGCTGACTCCCCCGAGCCCTCTGCTGCCATCCCCGCCTCAGCTCCATGATCTCCTGGCCATACCAGTTGTGCAGGGTAGAAAAGCAGGAGGTCTCAGGGGACACAGGGCTCTGCCCCCTGCTTAGGAGGAGGCTGGCAGGGCTCTGCAACTCCCACTCAGCCAAATCCCGCCCTGTTAGCCTGCTGCCCACTTCTTCGGTGGAGCCCACACGGCTGCAATCCCTGGGGAGAAAATGACCATTCTCCCTGCTTGGAGACCAGTGACCAGGGGCCTGCAGCTTGTGGCAGCTGGCAACGGTCTTCCAGGATGCACAGCGATGCAAGGCCAGGCTCTGGCGGGCATCCTGCAACTGGCTCTCCAGCTCTCGCACCACCAGACGCATGTAGCCAAAGCTGGCTCGAGACAGCGCCTTCACCCAGGCCTCCTGGGCCGCCTGCCCATCTGCGGCCAGTAGGTGTGGGCGCACTCCGGGGGCATCAAAGCGGATGGCGAAGGCAAACTCCTCTGGCACGGGGGCCTCTGCCAGCTCCACTGTACAGCCCTCCAGCACCACCAGGCTCAGCGGGGCCCGACCCTCCTGACTTTCAAAGGAGAACAGCAGGTTGCCCTTGAGGACAAACCAGCATCTTCGGCCAGTGCCACTGGGGGTAGGTGGGGTTCCTGGGCCCCCCCAAGTGCGCAGGAAGCCTGTGTGGTCTGCAGGGGAGTCACTCAGGGCATAGTGGACCACACTCCTCTTGTTCAGCTTCATGATTCTCACAAGAACTGTAAGGTGGAGAGAAGTGGCCGTGGATTAGACAGGGAGGTGGCTCCACTGGAGAAGGGGGCTGGCTCTGGAGGAGACCTGGGCTGCTCTGGGGCCTGTATTTGCTTGCTGTGTCCATGGGCTCTTCTGTTTTCATCTGTGAATTAGGAAAGTTTTCCCTGCCTTTTCTCTCTTTCATAGGGTCATGCAAAAAACTAGACATCAGAAGACTCAAAGGAAGAGATAATGACTGTATCAGAAGAGGAGGCTTGGGAGGACCTAGAAATGGCTTTTTAAAACTCAAAGAAAGCCAGGCGCCAGGGGCTCACACCTGTAATCTTAGCTTCTCAGGAGACAGAGATCAGGAGGAATGTGGTTCAAGGTCAGCCTGGGCAAAACAGAAGCAAGATATACACACAAAAAAAGGGCTGGCAGAATGGCTCAAGTGGTAGAGCACCTGCCTAGCAAGTGTGAGGCCCTGAGTTCAAACTCTAGTGCTGCCAAAAACAAAAACAAAGCCAGGCATGGTAGTGTAGTATATGCCTGTAATCCTAGGCTAGCACTGGGAAGCTAAAACAGGAGGAATGCAAATTCGAGGCCAGCCTAGGCTACATAGTAAGACCCAAAACACAAAAACTAAAAAGTAAGACTCAAAACACAAAAACTAAAAAAAGCAAAACAAAGTAAAAAAACAAATAGCTGAGAATGGTGGCCTGAACTGGTGATGTTAAGAGAACAACTTGTGACATTAACAAGTTGTTAGTGAAGCATCTTGCTGACCAGCAGCTCCCACTGCTGTCATTTTCCCATGTTGTGGAAAATGACAACCCCTGTCTGACCATCCAAGGCCAATTGGACAGATGGGAGAAGTTGAGGACACATAACCCAGTCTGTGGAAGTTAATGGCACATTAACCCAGTTTTCCAGGACTGACCATGTCCATAGACATGGCCCATGGAGGGTGCACGCTTGCTTTGCTTTCACTTTGCTCTGCATTAATAAACCTGCTCCTGCATAAATGCTCTGCGTCCATCCTTGAATTCTTTCTCTGACAAGGCCAAGAACTTTCTGGACTTGGTGACCCAGATCTGGTAACAAAACCATGGCGCTTCAACCATCCTCTAACTTGGGGCCTTCTCAACTCCAATTCTGAGGACAAAGTTCCAGGGAGTCCATGACCTTCCTGGGCATCTGTTAGCCTGAATTGTCCTTTACTAAGAATCTGCAGATTTCAGATCTAGATGAGTGCAGACAGGGCAAGTCAGATGGGGACCTACTCTGTACACAAAATGTGGGACAAACCAATATATGGCTGAGAAGGACCAACCACAGGTGCTGACTGCTGTTGTCTCGAGGATCATATATGACCTCTATCCTCTGCACTCATGGAAAACAAGACTAGAGCACTGAAGGGGAAAGGCCCTAAGTCAGTGGCCAGGGAGCACCAGCACTTGGTCTCCTAGTTCCTTTCCTTCTAGGGGGAAGTCTTGGCTGCCATGAGGAACTTACCAGCAAAGCTCACAGCACAAGGGCAGAGGCCTCTTGTCTGGCCTCACAGTTCAGCCACATGGCTCCCAGGAAGCCTGCAAGACAATTCTCAAAGAATGAGAATTCTGCCTTTGGGGCCTAGTGAAACCACCACCTTCTTGACCCCTGATAGTCCCCCACCCATCACCTGCTCTGGGCACCTAGGAACAATTCAAGGTCCCATTACCTTGATTTTCCCTTGTCAGACCTCAGCTCCCTGCCCTGAGGCCAGGTCAGAGTCAAGTGCTCATATATTCTTGCTTTCCCTTCTAGCCTTTGTCCCATTTTGTAGTGTTCTGTGGGCTTTAGGTCACCTAATCAAAGCCTTGCTTGATCACCATACCCAAGGTGGCTCTGATCAGCAAGGTGGCCTGATCTGAGGTCATCTGACCAGCAGTCCCCTCATTTCTGGTTTTGTCTCCTTCCTCCCACAATAATCACATTTGTCACTACAGCGCTGTTCCCATTCGAAGAATGTCTAGGGCGGGACTCCTCAGTAGCCCCCAATAATCGGCACCATGGGGGCTCGGGGAGGCTCTCAGGAAGTGTTTGTTGAATTCTTGGGACTGCATCAGTGGACAAAACAAAGGAGAGCCTACTCCCAGCGCGGGGAGACACGCTGTAAGGACGCAGAATTAAATGGCAATAAAGTTATCGACGTAACAAGTAATGAACTATAATAAATAACATAAGGGCCGGCTAGGAGAGAAAGGGCAGGCCCCGGATGGGGTAGCCGGGCAGGGAAGAAGGGCAGCCCGTCTGTTTGCGGAGGGGCGACCTGGGCGCGCGTGCTGGGCGCGCGGTGGGGTCACAGCCCGCGGCGCTGTCCCCTCCTCCCCTCCGGGCGCCCTGCTCTCCACTGCTGCGGCTGCGAGGCCCGGCCTCTCGCCGGCGCACAGCGGCTTTCCGGATTCTTTTGTTGGCCGAGCCACGAGCTGGCGGCGTCGAGCGGTCCGGCCAGTGGCCTCGGCCCCTGAAAGGGGTCGCCGCGGTCCGGACCTCCCCGCGAGCCGCAGGCCGATGGAACTGGCTGCTCTCCCCACCCGCACCCCCGACCCCGGGTTCCCGATCAGCGCAGCGCGGCGCGGCGGTTCCCGCCACGTCTCCGCGGCCACGCCTTCCCAGGCCCGCCTCCTCCCGCAGCCCGCCTGGCCGCGCTCACCTCCCGCCTCCGAGCCCGCGCCAGCCCCGGAGCATGGCCCGCGGGATGGGCGGCAGCGCCCCCGGCGATCCGGCCTCGGGACTCCGTGCCTCCACCCGGCCCGTGAACTCGGCCGCGGGAGCCGGGAGACCTCGCCCGGGCGGCTGGAGTTACCGCCCCGGCCCCTCCCCGCCTAGTACTCACCAGGCCTTGGGATCCGCAAGGCCGCCTCCTGATCTACATCCGAGGGAAACTGAGGCCCGGGAGGGTGAGAACTGTCTGCCTGACCCACAGAGCTAGTCAATGAAGGGAGGCCTCGAACCCAGGGCCCCACATCAAGCTGAATGTCCACGGGCCTCCCACACAGCCCACCGCTGGGATAATTCGGAATCCTCCTCTATCCCCTACAGTCCCCCTCTCCCCGCCCAGCCCTCTAGCAGAGCCAAGCCACGCAAGGCCTCGGCTTGGGCGCCTCCTAAGGGCAGCTCCTACATAGCCTGCAAAGCCCCGCTGAGTTATTCAACCAGATCTCTGGATTTACCAGATCTCTGGATTTGCCAGATCTCTGCCTCTGGAGCTTATCCATTTCTGCTTCCACCAGCCATCTGCAGCCCCATCATGGCCCCCAAGCCCTTCTGGGAGTAGGTCCACACATAGGCCCCCGTGAAATATTGCAAGACGGCTCAAAGGCAGGTTCCCAGAGGCCCTGGGTCAACATGAGCTTAACAGACTGCCCTAAAACTTGTGGGTGCCACCTCAGAGCCCTTGCTTTTGCAGTTCCTGCAGCCAAGACAGCCCTTCTTTCTCACCCCCACACCCCAACTCCACACCCTAGCCTCAGGGTTGCTTCATATCCTTTAGATCTCTGCTCAGATGTGCCCTCCTTAACCTGTCAAAGTTGAGCAGCCTACCCTTAGGCTTCCATTACATCCCTGGGTTGTATTTTCAATATACTAACCACTATAGTAAACTTCATTAAGTCATGCTTTTATTTCTTGTTCATCGTGTCTCTTTCATTAAATCTTATTAATAGTATAAATTATAATAAATGTGTTAGAAGGTAATAATTGTGTGGAAAAAACAGAGCAGAGTAAGGGAGATTGGGAGTTCTGGGGGTGGGACTGTTACTATTTTAAATAGAATGATAAGGGTAGACCTCACTGAGAAGGTGGCATTTGACAAATATTTGAAGGAGCTGTGTATAGCTAGAAGAGCATTCCAGGCAGAGGTTACAGCCAGTGCAAAGGCCCTGAGGCCTGCAAAGGAAGTCAGCAAGCTGGGAGGAGGTCTGGAGGGAGGCAGGAGATGGGATCCATTGCAAGACTTAATAAAACTAAGTAAACTCCAGACTGAGGGAGCAGCCATGGCAGGGTTTTCAGACAGTAGTGACTAGAGCTGGGTTTTCAAGGGTACTCTGGTTACCATGGAACGAATAAATGTAGGTGAGGATGTAGAGGGGCAATGACATTGGTGACTCCACAATGTCATTGGAGAGGATGAGAGAGGCACTTTAGAAGCAGACACATAAAAGGGCATGGGAAACAACAGGCTTCTCTGAGAAACAACAAACCTCTCACCAAAATACCAGATGCAGCTGCACAGTATGGGTAGTGGGCCCCAAGGCCAGGACAAGTTGGGCAGATTTCAAGGCCAGGACGAGCTGACCAGGCCTTCTTGGAATGTTCAGCTTGATAAGAAGAAGGACGGACAGGTGGTCAAGTTCTGCGGGAAGCTGACTTGGCGCCAACCAATCACAAATACAGTTCCAAGGTAGACAGGTTGGACCTAAGCCAGTTAGTGCGCTCTAGCATTCCTAGACTTGAGCCATCGTTGCGCTTAACTCCGGCGCTAAGTCCCGCCCTCTGGATAAACTTTGTGCTTGCTTTTCTCGTCACTCCTGGTCCCCTGCCTTCAGTCATCGACCCTGCCCGCACACAAACTCGGGATCAATAATCCAGTAACGAGAAGGCTGCTGTAATAGTCCACGCGAGATGTGAGGGGGCCCCCCGAGCGGTCCGGGGCAGCCAGGTTTGGGATGGATTTTAAAGGTAGAGGGGGAGGGTTTGCAGAGCACTGGACGTGAAGGGTGAGGAAAAGAGGAACCAGGGAGCATTCCAAGGTTTTGACTGGAGCACCCAGAAGAGGGGCTACCACTACCTGAGACAAGGAAGGTAGCAGGTGTTGGGTTTGGGGCCAGTTATGGTGGAAATCCAGTAGCCATCCAAGTGGAGGCGAACACATTAGCGTGTGGCACTTGAGTGACTGAGGGACATTTGCAATGTCTGGACCAACAGCCCCGTGAGTGTAGGTTGGGGGAAGCCAGCCTCCCGCTGTTTTGCTCTCACCCATCTTCCCTGCAGTGCATATTCATTTCCAGCACCATTTCTGAGCGGTCTACTAAGGGCGGTGTTTCAGGACACGCTCTTTCCTCTTGAAGCCCTCAGTATATTCACCGCACGGCTCCTCACAGAACGCCCACAGCGCCCGCCACCGTCTGCACGCTCCCGCTCGTGCCTGCCTCGGGAGCGCGCGGAGCTGAAGTTCAAAGGGGCGGGACGTTGGGAGGATCTGGCTCATAGAGGGTGGGGCATTTTGTTGCTAGGGGGATTCTGATAGGTTGTGCTGGAAGCCGTCAGGCCCCGCCCCCACTGGAACGAGACAGATGAATCAGAGGACCCCGAGCTGCCAGGGGACGCGGAGGTGCGGCTTGGCCTGAGCTAGCGGAAGGGTCAGTTTGACGGCTGGGAACTCGCGGCGCGGGGACGATGGGCTTGAGATTCTCGGGGGCCGAAGGGGAGAACCCGGACCGGATGGGAGTTGGGATCCTGGTTGGGCCCAGCGCCCCGGCTCTTCCTCGGGCTAGTCGCTGCGCCCTTTCTGACTCTGGTCTGGCCGATGGCCGCCCTTAGGCGCCCAGGGCTCCCAGCATCGCGAAAGGGGCGAGGGCTAATGTCCTGGACACCTCCCCTAGTATTTCTGAAGGGAGAGCCCAGACTCGGGAAGTTATGGCTGGGGGTGGGGTGACAGTAGTGAGGGAAACTTGTGGACCGAGAGTGAGATCCATACCCAAGGTTAAGGGCGGCAGGGGTGCCAGGCTGCCGTGACCTCAGTGCTTTTCTAGCATCTCTTATCTTTCAGAGTCCAACATATAAAGGTGATAAGAGCAGATCTGGTCAGGTCCTGAGACGCTGGGTCCAAAGCAATGGTGCTGAAGACAGGTACCTACACCTACCAGGGGAAGGTGACGGTTTTGGGAGGGAGTGGACGACTGCCAGGAAGAAGTTCTGACCCTGTAATGTCAGTCCTTCTTCCCTGATGTGGGCATGCGAGGAGACTTGTTCCTCACTTTTATTGGAGCTGGGCCAGGAAAGGCAAGCAGGCTCCCTACCCAGGAATCCGTTCCTTCTTTCACTTCCTGTCTCATCCCCATTTCCCCAAATGCAAAGGCCCTATCTTAGGTGATACCAACTTGTGTTACATCCCTGTAAAGTGGGTACAGTATCTTCTCCATAAGGAAACTGAAGCCCAAGAAGGAAAGGTGAGCAGCTGGGTCTAAGTCTATTCTGGAGGACCTCTTAGGTCCTTTGGAGGCTTTGAGGTTCTGTAGTAGTAAACAGAGAGCCCTGGGACCTAGAAAACCTGGAGGCTGGCCTGCAGGGGAAGAGGAGCTGGTCAGGGGTATAGGAAGGACAAGACTTCAGGTGTCAGTTTTGCTGATTCCCACCTTGCTATGGTAACAAGAAGTGGGGAGCCAGGCTTTGAATCCATGGCCTTGCCCCATTACTACACTGCACTTGCCAGTCCTTGCAGGAATCTGGTTCACCCTAATGTATAGGCAGTCTCTGCAGGGCTGTGGCTGGGTGAGATGAGGGCCAGGGCTGTGGGAGTCATTCACAGTCACCATCACGTCCTCCTCCCCAGTGCTGTTGCTGGCCCAGGTGGCCCAGGTACTGATGCTGGAGAATGGGCTCATGCGGAAACCACCCATGGGCTGGCTGGCCTGGGAACGCTTCCGCTGTAACATTGACTGTGTTGAGGACCCAAAGAACTGCATCAGGTGAGCAAATGCACCTGACAAAGCCTTTCCCAGGGCCTGCAGAGTGGGGGCAGGGGAGTAGAGGGGCAGCTAGCAAGGGGGCAAGGTCTGAACCACTAACCCCCAGTCCCAGAGACACTGCAGGCAGAAGAGACTTCAGAGATATCTGACACCCAGCCTCATGACCTACCTGGGGCCTCTGTGGGGCAGGGACCTTGAAGCGAAAGGAGATAAAAGGCCAGGCAGGCCCCACAACTTCCCCAGTCCTGCCCCTTGGCCTGGGGACCAGACCACTTCTTTTACCCCACCTTGCTTGTGGCTCCTGACACATTCCTGGGAGGTCATTTACACTTATTACCTGGCTTAGTCCTCAGCTGATAGTAGGGACATGGTTTTTATAGTCTGTGCTCACACTCAGAGCTGAGGAAAGGACGGGGCAAGAGCCAGGCTGGGCCAATGACCAGCACCTTCCTCCTGCCCCCTGCTAGTGAGCAACTATTCATGGATATGGCTGACCGCCTGGCCCAGGATGGATGGCGGGACCTGGGCTACGTATACCTCAACATTGATGATTGCTGGATTGGCGGGCGTGATTCCAAAGGCCGTCTGGTGCCTGATTCCAAGCGCTTCCCCCATGGCATTGCCTTCCTGGCTGACTACGTGAGTCCCAGCCCTGCCTCTTAGCCTGAGGGCCACCCCACTCCTTTCCCTTCACCTGCTTGGAGTTCATATACACAGTTCCTGCTTGAGAACTGTTTGGTGGTGGAAACTGACAAATGTGCACCTACTTTTGGCTCATGGAAGTGAGTTGCAAAGGACACCTTATTCTGCCTGAGACTCCAGGAAAATGCCCTGGAGGTGGCAGCTAGTTCTAGAGGTGATTCCAGAGAGAGGGCCTTTAAGGAAGAAATAAAGGCCTTGAGGCAAGAGACAGCTGGAACGTGTATGTGTGTTGCAGGGAGGGTGGGTCACAGCTAGCAGAAGCCAGCCAGCAGCTGAGACATCTCTCCTTTGGTCAGTGGGAACCACTGAAGGTTTTAATGGTCCCCGGTCAGGTATCCTGTGAGGAGAGGCTCTCTGAAGGTTCCACTTGAGCCCACTGTATCCTCAACCTCCCAACAGGCTCATTCCCTGGGCCTGAAGCTGGGCATCTATGCGGACATGGGCAGCTTTACCTGCATGGGCTACCCTGGCACCACACTAGACAAGGTGGAGCAAGATGCTCAAACCTTCGCTGAGTGGAAGGTGGATATGCTGAAGCTGGATGGCTGCTACTCGACCTCTAAGGAACGGGCTGAGGGTGAGTTCCACAGCTGGCAGGGGTCTATCAGATAGATAGGGAGGATAGCCATGGGAGCTTGGTCTGTCTGTGTAGCCCCCAGCTATTTATTTCCCAACTACCCTTACCCAGGAGCTGAAGGGATTATGGCTCCAGGCTCCATAAAGTGAGGTGGTACCATAGCTGCCTCCCTGAGGCCTGGCACCCAGGAAATACTTGAGGCTCTGGGTGCAGGAGAGCCACTTCCTCTTTGGAGCCTTCTATTTGGTACAAAAAGATCCCAGACTATCTCCTGTATCTGCTCAGTTCTCAAATTGGGCTTTCTCCAGGGTACCCCAAGATGGCTGCTGCCCTGAACGCTACAGGCCGCCCCATTGCCTTCTCCTGCAGCTGGCCAGCCTATGAAGGGGGCCTCCCCCCGAGGGTAAGCCATTCTGTGTGCCTGCCTACTAGGGCCTGTATACAAGGGTTCCCCACACCAAGGCTTCCTTGCCCCCCATATGCCAGGCCTCAAGGAGGTGATCACCACAGCCAGGGCTACTCTCACAACAGTTGCCAACATACTTATTTGTAGGTGTCTAGAGACAAAGTCATAATGTCCTAAAGAGGGACTCAGCCAGCCCCTTTATCTGGGGGGCTGACAGGGTTGGCATCCAAGGCAGGAGAGTGGGGTGCCAGCACAGTGTCCAGCAAGTGGGCAGATTCCTGGGTGGTACCAAGTGGACTAAAGAGATCCAGACAGCTGGTGAGGCCAGACCTAGGCCAAGCCACAGAAAGGCCTCTCACTAGCTCCCACTCCAGCCCTTCTTACCTACCCCCTCCACATCTGCTACTAGGAGGGGGTGCTGTCATTGAGGGGAAATGGGGTGTGCATGTACATGGTGAGGAGCACTGTGGATTCACCAGCCTATAGGGAGGGAAGGCCTGGGCAGCCCCATAACAAGGCCAACCTTATTTGCATTGTTTCTCTTTTTGCTTCTTATCAGTGTTGTTGCTGTTTAATGCTTCCTGGTAAGATATCTCAGAGGGTTCTTGTTAGCACAAACTTGAGATCGTATTCTCTTCCTCCTTCCCAACCTGTCTACTGAGCCTCCCTAGCCCCTGGGTGGCCCCAGAACCAGGGTGACTGGTGTTGGACTCTGCCTTCCCTAACATCCAGGTGAACTACAGTCTGCTGGCTGACATCTGCAACCTCTGGCGCAACTATGATGACATCCAGGACTCCTGGACAAGCGTGCTTTCCATCCTAGACTGGTTTGTGAACCACCAGGACGAACTGCAGCCAGTGGCCGGCCCTGGGCACTGGAATGACCCAGACATGGTACCAGCATGGAAGGGAATGGCCCTGGGCTCACCATCCATGCCAGCCCTGCTCCCCACTGTCTTGTGCTCTCTTCCTTCCAGGTGCTAGGTCAATCATTTCAGAAACGTGTCCCTTAACTGGGTATGTCAGGGTTTATCAGACTTGCCTACTAAGCTTGCCGAAGCTTGCTTATAGTTAAGGTTCAGGGCCCTGCCCTCCCACCTGCTTTTTGCATCAGAATGTGGGGAAGGACCTGGGAATGCCCATTGTTAATTCTGATGTTTCTTCTGAGAACTCTGACCATAGCAATCAACCATCCAGTGAGACGCTACTCCTCTAGGTGGTGAAGATCAGGATGAAAATCATACTGTTCCATGCTGTCTTGCCAACCCAGTACCCTTTCCCCATTTGCCACTGGCACCTTTTTTTGGGGGGGAGGGGTTGGGAAATTCCTGTTTTAATGCCTTATACCCTGTTGTCCTGAAAAACCCACCCAGTCCTGCCCCACTTTCCACAAGCACAACTGACCCTCAACCTGCTTCTGGTCCTTCCATCCTAGCTTAGTCATAGTAGCCCTGGCAATGTTTTTTTCCTCCCTTATTTGCATTGTTTCTCTTTTTGCTTCTTATCAGTGTTGTTGCTGCTTAATGCTTCCTGGTAAGATATCCTGTTCCCCCTTGGAAGTCCCTTCTTATTTATCATATCACTGACCATTCTAGATGGAATCATTAGTGATCTTATCTCCAGAGAACTTCCACAACATCTTATCCCAGACTCTTGAGTTTCAGGGGTTTTAGTCCAGGGTCCTTTGGCTTCATTGCTTCTGGACCTTTTGTTAGGACTTAGTTACATCCATTTGAAAACCCCAAATGCACTGGAGAATCTAAACAAGTTATGCAAGAAAGCCAGGTGTGGTGGGTATGGATGTGGTTGTTCAGGCCTATAATCCCAGCTACTCTGGAGGCTGAGGCAAAAGGATCTCAAATTCAAGAAGGGTCTAGAAAAGTTAGCAAGACTAGGGGCATAGTTTGAGTGACAGAGTGCTTACCTAGCAAGTGTGAGGCCCTGGGTTCAATCTCTAGTACCAAAAAAAAACCCAACAACTTTGAGAATTAACAAGCAATTTAACTCTGTTCATCTCCCAAATGTCATCAAGTAGGGAGCACTTGCTGCCATGGGCAGCCCAAGAGCTGTACAATGAATTCTATTCCTGCAGTCCTATTTTAAACCAAAATAATGAGACTTTTGGGTTTTAAAACATCAATTCATCCTGTCCTTGGATCAGTGATCTTGTTTAGGCAATGTGTAGTCAATATGGGCTGCCCTACCACCCCACCCCCACCCCCTCACCCTGAGAACTGGAGGGGCGGGGCTTAAACAGCAGACACTGGTTTTTCTCACAGCTCCTCTGGTGAGGGCTTTCTTCCTCACAGAAGGTCAGCCACTTTCTTGCACTGTATCCTCACATAGACTCTCTGCATTTATGGAGAGAAGGAGGGAGCCCCTGGTGACTCTTAAATGTTGTTGTTATTGTTGGAAAAGGGATTGAATTTAGGGCCTCACGCTTGTTTGGCAGGTGCTCTACCAGTAGAGCCATGCCCCAGTCTTTAAAATAGTTTTATGGGTTCGGGTGCTGGTGGCTCACGCCTATAATCCTAGCTACTCAGGAGGCAGAGATCTTGAGGATTGTAGTTTGAAGCTAGCCGTGAACAAGTAGCTCTCCGGGCCTGGGTAAATGGTTCTTGAGACCCTATCTTGAAAAACCCATCACAAAAGAAAGTGGGGAGTGGTGCAGTAGCTCAAGCTATAAGAGCACCTGCTAGCAGGCGTGAGGCCCTGAGTTCAAACCCCAAAGCGGCCAAAGAAAGAAAATTAGTCTTATGCTTATCTGTTCATTTAATCAACAAGCATTTGCTGCCAATGGTGATTATAGTAATTGTCAATACTAAACCAGGTGGGGCCATTCTGGAAGAGCAAAACTTTCCTGCTTTGCAGTCCCTGCTCCAGCTTGCCACTTGCCTTGGGCAAATTACTTAATGTTTTCTGTGCTTCTGTTTGGTCATTGAAAAGTGAGAATAATGGTAGCTACTTTATATAGGGCTGTTTTGAGGGTTAAATGAAGTAACTCTAAAGTGCCTGGCATATAATCCACGAGTACCATGTGTCATTAGCCATAATTGCATCCTGACTGAATTGGTTCGTTGCCCTGTGGTCAGAAGTCCTTCTTGGTCCTTTCAGCTATGGCTAGAGCAGGTGGATGTCCATTTTCTGTCCCCATTTACAAACTTTTTGGCAACAAGATCCCATCTGATTATCTGGTCAACCTGCAATGCAACCACAGACTCATCACCTTGTGCTAATGCTCAGATGGAAAGTGTCTTGCTTTTGCCTTGGACACGTTTGACAATGGTCCTGATGCCCATCTCTCAGAAGAGAGAAGCACTGACTGTTCCTTTCCTCTGCCTCCAGCTGCTTGTTGGGAACTTTGGCCTCAGCTTTGAGCAAGCCCGGGCCCAGATGGCTCTGTGGACCATACTGGCAGCCCCCCTCTTCATGTCCACAGACCTGCGTACGATCTCCCCCCAGAACATGGACATTCTGCAGAATCCACTCATGATAAAAATCAACCAGGACCCCTTGGGCATTCAAGGACGCAGGATTCTCAAGGTACTGGAGCACAGGGGTTGGGAGAACAGAGAGGGCTAAGGAACTGGTCTGCCCCGAGAGCAAAGCTGCAATACTAGGTGACACTGGGAGTGGGGCTGGGTCTCTGAAATGCCCTCTTGGATCCCTTCTGGTTGCATGCAGTTAAATACTGATAGGTGATGCTCCAACTTCCTCCTCCTTGTCTGCATGAGAGCACAGCCAGAGAAGGACAGATCCTGAGAGGCAGGTGGGGATGAGTCACCACACAAGTACACAGAGAACAGTGAGGCATGAAGCTACTACACACAGGGGATGTCCTGCAGAGAATAAAGGGTTCCCTCCAGAGATTAAGGAATTACTTTAGTCAACGACTACTACTATACTATTACCACAACTGTATCTGCAGCTTACTTAGTGCCTACTGTGTGATGTGCTCTCTAAATACATTTTCTCAGCAAGGTAGACACTCTCCATTTTATCCCAAGGCTACACAATTGGGTGACATGAACTCACAAAACCTTTGGTCTTTGCACAAATTTTGACCTTGGTAAAAGGAAATCTACAAAACTGTAGAAGGCACCATACCACTAGTGATAACGAGAGGAGGTAGTCAGTCTCTGCCAAAGGTGCCAATGATGGAGCTGGGCCTGGGGAACCTTCCGGAGGATGAGACTCACCCTCAAGGCCAGCTCCACTGTGTGCCTTCACAGAGCCATGCTCCTCGTTGTTGTCACTGGACCGGGCCCTCCACCAAAGCACTCGCAGCTGTCTTGGGCAGCACTTGTGCTCTTGCTACTTTATTATTTCTGCCTTCATCCCTCCTATCATCCTACCATCCTGTGAGGCAGAGCCTCATACAGCATTTGTCTCGTCCCCTCCTCTGGGGCCTGGCACAGAACAGTTGTTAGATCTGCTGAGTAAAGGAAGGAAAGTACAGTTAGATAACTGGAATGCTAGCGGGCTGTAGCATCAACCTCAACCCTCTATGTGACACAGAGCTGTGGGCTGAGGAGGGAGGGTTGGGACATATCTCAAGGGAGGGCCAGGCAGAGGACTTCAGGGCCTGCCTGAGCAGGGAGACCAACCAGTGGCCATCTTTTCTTATGCCTAGGAAAAATCCCACATTGAAGTGTTCAAGCGGCCCCTTTCTGATGAGGCCATTGCTCTGGTATTCTTCAGCCGCAGGACTGACATGCCTTACCACTACCATGCCTCACTTGCACAGCTGAACTTCTCTCATACCAAAGTGTATGAGGTGAGTGCCCCTGGCTCAGAACTTCTGGCATCTGGTTTCCTTGGGAGGGCACTGCTGGGAGTGGTCCTCATTCACATGTAGCTTCCCCTGTGCTGTGGCTTTGGGCCTCTTGCAGGTTGCTAAGGGGCTTATGCAGGCCTGTGGCTGGTGTTGTTCCTTGCACTTGTGTTTCTGAGTAATGCAGATGGACCTACTGTGTATAAATGGGTTCCCTTAACCTTGCGGGCTGGTCCTTGCTCATTGGTCAGGCTTTGCTGCCATTGGTCCTCATGGTTTTCCACAGGGTGAGGCATTTAGTACTGGCTGTGCTTAGACATCTGTCAAATTTTGTTAGTGGAAAAATGACTTCTCAGGGCACATTGGAGGTCTAGCACAAACAGGCCAAAGTCCAGTCTTCTCTGACCTCTGAGGGGTTCGCTACACATCTCTTCTTATGCTGGTATCGGTGATATCCCTCCCTACTGCAGGCTCAGAATGTCTTCTCGGGTGATGTCATCAGTGGCCTCCGGGATGATACCAACTTCACAGTGACCATCAACCCTTCGGGGGTGGTGATGTGGTACCTGTATCCTATCAAGAACCTGGAGATGTCTGAGATGTTCCAGTAGTGAGGAGCTGAGATGTATGACAGGCTATGGTGGCCCCACCGAGCCATGGAGGCCATGGAGCCTTGGCATGCTGACGAGTGGGCAGGGTTTTCTCCCTCCTAGGTCTGCTCAGCGACCTGATCCCATCATACCCAAAGTGTAATTGAAGGACCAGGTTCCATGCCCTGCTCAAGTGTGGACGTTCTTGGAAACTTTTCTTGAGGAAATTTCCTGTGGCCTTCCTGGCCTCTTCTTACTTACAACTCTACAGATGTTGCTGAACCACTTGGCCAGCCTCCTGAGCCCCCACAGGCAGGGGCACTGATGCCCATCAGACTCTAGCCTCTGACCCTGTTGCTGACTCTGAAATCAGGATTTGGAACTTTTCTAATTAGGAATAGAGATCTGACCCTTTGCCTGAGACTCTCGTGAATCATGTGATTGGCTTTCCTACCTGGAGAAGGCCTTGTAGGTTGATAGCTCTTGAGAGTGAAGGTCAGAAAGGCCTTGGCTCCCTGAGGTCACCAATAAAGCTATTCTTTATTCAAGTAGTTGTAATATGGACCTGGGGCCATGGGCATCTTCAGTTAGGGACTCTAGGTGGCACTACCCAGGTTGCTGGCCTCACATGGAAAATGGGAGGGGCATCTTCTGACCCCACATTTTCCAAAGTGACCTGTAGAGATGATTTCCGTCTCCTGCAGATTACACTTTTCCTAGAAATGATAGACATCCCTGCTCTGCCTGGCACTGTGGTGGGCATAGTGGCCATACAGTGAGGCACAGTAGTGTTCCCAGGCCCTGCAGTTTGTGCTCTGTTAGCATTGTCCCCTGGTCTCAGCACCTCAGCTTGCTCTCCTCTTTGATGGCCCCACCCCACTTCCACTTCTTTATCTCTCCCAACTTGGCTGAGAAGGTGGTTAAGATTCCTCAGCTGTGTCCACAGACAAGTCTGGGGGTTCTTCCTATCTTTAAATCTATTTCCCACTCCTCTTCCTAAAAGAATAGCAGGTTTTTAGCTGACCCCTGTTGGTTCCCAGTCCCCAAGCCATCATCCTCTAGCTCAGGATATAGGACACCTGTTTTCCCTGATGGCCCTCTTTGGAAAGCTGATGGCAGAGCAGGTTAGCCAGGTCTTCATTCATTGAATGTGGGAACATGCAGTGCTGCAGGCTTTGCACCATCCTGTCCTGTGGCGTCTCTTCTGGGTAGACTTCCCATACTCGTTCCTTCAAGGTGTAAGGTTCTTATATCTAGAGTAGTACATAAAGAAGTGTACATTTCAGGATGCCATTTAAGATGACTGGAGCTTTGCTGATTAAGCCACCATATCGGATCAGTCTGGTAACTGAGTCACTACAGAAAGCTCCCTTTACCCAGTTGATGTCTTGAGGCTGTTAAGTCATTCAGGAAGACAGTTGAAGGCCTGTTACTCTGTGCATAGCTCCAGACTTGTGTCTTGGTCATAGTGCTGTTCAAGTAAAATGAAACGATACTGGGTGGGAACAATTCTCTTGCCATCTCCAGGAAGGAAGCTGGAGATGGGATTTCATGGAGTATAGGGATTTAAAGCATGATTTGGGAGTCAGGACCAGGGGTGAGTTGGACTTGACCAATTCCCTTACCTTTCAAATCCAGAGATGGTTGCATGTCTTGCCTTGTCCTGATGGATACCTGAATACCTGATGGATTCTATATCTTCACCCTTCATTCAACACACATGCTACCTATCTTCCAGGATACTGTGTTACTCCCTTCTACATAAAACCACTTAGGAACTCAATTACTTTTTCAAGGTAGCCTTGTTTGTATCCAGGGGTACCCATTTTTTTGCAGGGGTGGGGGGTTTAGGGAGGGGGAACTGGTGTTTGAATTCAGAGATTTGCCCTTGCTAGGCAGGTGTTCTACTACTTGAGCCAGCTCTTTTGTTTTGGTTATATTTGATATATGATCTCACATTTGTGGCTGGATCAGCTTTGGACCATGATCCTTCTATTTACACTTTCCACTTAGCTGGGATGACATGACAGGTATGTACCACTACACCCAGCTTTACTGGTTGAGATGGGGGCCTTGCAAACTTTTTGCCAGGGCTGGCCTCAAACAGATCCTTCCAAGTAGCTGGGATTATAGGGGTGAGCCACTGCACCTACCAGGGGCAATCCTCTTTTTATTACAGTACTGGGGTTTGAATTCAGAGCTTTGGGCTTGCTAGACAGGCACTCGAGCCATGCCTCCAATGGATAATCCTTTTAAAAATTTTTATCATGGCAATTTTCAAACACAAAAATAAGTACAATGAATCATCCCATGTACCTATCATATGGCCCCAATAACCATCAATTTATGCCATTGTTTCGTCTCTCCCCTTTTCTTTTGTGTATTTGAAAGCAAGTTTCAAAAACCCAAAATACTACTATGTACCTCTAATGGTCTCTGAAAAAAATATTACAACAAAACAATTTTCCTATCCAACAAAACAATTTCAAAATAACAATCTGTGTCCAGTTTTTGCTGTCTAAAAAAATCTTTCTTTTAATATAAACTCCACTAATAAATGGAGTTTCCACTGTGATATTTTCACATATGCACATAACGTACCCAAGTTTGGTTCATTCCCTCAAAGATATGTTTCTATACTTTGAATCCATGGTTCAGCAAAAATGGTCAATTCAGAACCCTGAAGTTTGCTCCCTCCATAAAAGCAATGAACACCTTGCCATGCATCAAAATCAACTTTAATAGGATTCTGGAAATTAACCAAAGGCTTGCAGCAACCCAGAGGGCATGCAGTTTGAAAAAAAAGTTTCAGTAAATATAGTAAGTTTCATGACATTGTAACTTTCCTTAGTAGCAAGTTTAATAGTTTACAATCATAGAGCTAAAGAAAGCCATATCTGTAAAGAATTAAAGAATAAAACAATACTCAACAAATAGTAACAAAGAGGAAGTTGAAGTTATATAATCCCAACTACTTGGGAGGCAGAGACAGGAAGATAGAGGTTCAAGGCCAGCCTGGGCAAAGTTATCAAGAGACCCTGTCTGAAAACCTAAAAGCAAAAGGACTGGTGGCAGGACTCAAGTGGTAGAGAACTTGCCTAGCAAGCATGAAGCCCTATGTCAATCCTCAGTACTGCAAAAAGAAGGAAAAATAGAAATTATAGGAGGGAACCAAAGAGAAATTCTGGAATTGGAAAGTACAATATCTGAGATGAAATATTCACCAGAGGGTTCAACAGCAGACTTGACTAGGCAGGAAAAGAAGCCAACCTGACAAAAGGTATGTTGAAATTAACCTGGAGAACAGAAATATGAAGAATAAAGCCTCAGAGACCTGTGGGATACCATCAAGTATATCAAGTATACAGATAACACAAGAGGAAAGGAGTGGAATATGTCAGGAAATAATGGTTGAAAACTCCCACACTTGATGAAAAATATTAATCTTCATGTCCAGGAAGTTCAACAGACACCACATAGGGCTGCACTCGAAGAGGTCTTATGCTTAGGCACTTCATAAACTCTCAAAAGCCAAAAATGAGTTTTAAAAGCAGCAAGACAAAAGTGACTCATCACATTCAAGGGCACCTCAATAAGATCTACAGATGACTTCTCATCAAAAACCATGGAAGCCTAGAGGCAATGGGTTGGCATATATCACCACAGTTGGAAAAAGCAAAGTTTTTGTATGCAATTGACATAAATTGGTATTAATCCATCTGGGGGTGGGGTCCAAGTGGTAGAGTACTTGCCTAGTAAGGGCAAGGTCCTGAGTTCAAACTCCAGTACCACAAAAAAAATTGGTATTGATCCAATTAGATTGTTATAAACTAACATGTTAATGGTGGTAATCTCTGAAGCAACTCTACACAAGAAAATTAGAAGCAATGTCAGAAATGAGAGAACACAAAATAACACAAAAGGCAGTAATGGAGGAAATGAGCAAAAAAGAATATATATATAAAGCAAATAGTAAAATGCCATGGGTGGCTCAAGTGGTAGAGTGCCTTGTCTAGCAAGTCTAGGTCCTGAGTTCAATCCCCAGTGCTACAAAAAAGAAAGGGTGTGGGTAAATCCTACCTTGTCAATGATTACATGTAAATAGACTAAACACACTGACGGAATCTATTTAAAAGATTCTCCCCATCCCCCCACCCCACACACAAAAGAGACACACTTTACAATCAAAGAAACTTAAAAGGATGGCAAAAAGCAGGTGAAGTGGCTCAGTGGTATATCACATGCCTAGTAAGTGTGAGGTCCTGAGTTCAAACCCTCTACCACCAAAAAAAGTAAAATATATATACACATATATACACGTGTGTGTGTGTGTGTGTGTGTGTGTGTGTGTGTGTATACATATATGACTTGCTAGATGTCAGTGGCTCATGCAGGTAATCCTAGCCACTCAGGAAGCAGAGATCAGGAGAATCACTATTCGAAACCAGCCCAGGCAAATAGTTTGCAAAACCCTATCTCGAGAAAAAAAAAAAAAAAAACCCACCACACACACACACACACACACACAAAAAGGACTGGTGGAGTGGCTCAAGATGTAGGACCTGAGTTCAGACCCAAGCACTGCAAAAAAAAAAAAAAAAAAAAAAATATATATATATATATATATATATATATATATACACACACTGTACAAACAGCAGTCAAAGACAGCTGGAAAGGTTACATTAGTATAAAAAAAAGATTTTGAGACAAAATGCTATTAGAGATGAAAGAGATTTTATAACATTAAAAGAGTGAATCCCCAAAGAGTAAACATGAATGCACCTAATGAAAGAACTTTAAGATACAGGAAACCTGACAGAAATGAAGAAATAAGACAACTGAAGAATAACTGTTGTAGAACAGAACAGGGAGCTTAGAAGTAAACCCATATACCTACACTCAACTGAATTTCAATAAAAGGACTAAGAACACACAGTAAAAAAAAAAGGACAGCTTTTTCCCCCCAATAATTGGTCCTGGAAAATTGTATATCCATATGCAGAAGAAAAACTAGACCCCTAATTCTCACCAGTTACAAATCTCAAAATGGATTAAACCAGAACAATGAACTTATCAGAAAAAAAACGGGAAATGCTTCAGGATATTGGGATGGGCAAAGATTTTTTGGACAGGACGCCAAAAAACAAAAAAAAGCAAAAACAGATGAATAGGATTATATAAAACTAAGCTTCTGCTCAGCAAAGGAAACAATAAAGAGAACATAGAATGGAAGAAACATTTGCAAACTGTACACCTATCAAGGAGTTAACATTAGAATATATAAGGGACAAAAAAAATAGCAAAAAAACCCAAATAATCCAATTTGAAAATGGGCATTAGTTGTAACAAGACATTTCTCAAAAGAAGATCTACAAATGGCTAACAGGTATATAAAAAATACTCAAAATCATTAATCATCAGAGAAACGCAAATCAAAACTGCAAGATATAATCTCACTCCAGTAAGAATGGCTAATATCAAAAAGACGAAAGAGCTGGAGGCATGGCTCAAGTTGTAGAGTGCTT